ATCGTCGCCCTGTGAATCGTGCAACGCATGCGCGTCCCATGTAGCTTGCACAGCAAATCGCCGCGTCTACACTGTCGTTGTTCCTGCTAATGTTGGCATACTCCTTTTGCCATTTGATGCACGTGGGTTGGGTACGTCGCAGGGTAATGTCCCAACCCTCTTGCGTTGGGTACTTGTTTTGAATAGAGCACTGCGGTCTCCACCTTCCTTCCTTCCTTCATTCCTTCCTTCCTTCCCGCCTCCCGCCCCCACCTTCCTTCCTTCCTTCCTTCCTTCCTGCCTTCCTTCCTTCCCGCCTCCCGCCCCCTCCCGCCTCCTCCTCTCTTCTCTGGGGGGCTGCGATCTGCGAAACTGTCGCCACTTTCGAGGGCTGCTGGGGTGGCCAGCGGAGTGACGCCCTACGGGGATCCGGATTAGACCTCGCCATCCCTGGGGGGCTGCGATCTGCGAAACTATCGCCACTTTCGAGGCCTGCTGGGGGGCCCAGCGGAGTGACACCCTACGGGGATTCAGATTAGACCTCGCTCATCCCTCGGTGGGGCTCGATCTGTGAAACTGTCGCAGGTTCGAGGGCTGCGGGGGGCCCAGCGTGAGTGGACGCCCTCCGGGGATTAAGATTAGACCTCGCCATCCCTGGGGGGCGCGGATGCGAAAGTGTCGCACTTTCGAGGGGCTGATGGGGGCCCCACGGAGTGACGCCCTACGGATTTCAGATTAGACCTCGCGATCCCTGGGGGGCTGCGATCTGTGAAACTGTCGACACGTTCGAGGCCTGCTGGGGGGCCCAGCACAGTGTGCACCCGCGGCGGATTCAAATGAGACCTCGCCATCCCTGGGGGGCTGCGATCTGTGAAACTGTCGCCACTTTCGAGGCCTGCTGGGGGGCCCAGCGGAGTGACGCCCTACGGGGATTCAGATTAGACCTCGCCATCCCTGGAGGGCTGCGATCTGTGAAACTGTCGCCACTTTCGAGGCTGCTGGGGGGCCCAGCGGAGTGAAGCCCTACGGTGATTCAGATTAGATCTCGCCATCCCTGGGGGGCTGCGATCTGTGAAACTGTCGCCACTTTCGAGGGCTGCTGGGGGGCCCAGCGGAGCGACGCCCTACGGGGATTCAGATTAGACCTCGCCATTCCTGGGGGGCTGCGATCTGTGAAACTGTCGCCACGTTCGGGGGCTGCTGGGGGGCCCAGCGGAGTGACGCCCTACGGGGATTCAGATTAGACCTCCCCATCCCTGGGGGGCTGCGATCTGTGAAGCGGTCGCCACGTTCGAAGGCTGCGTGGGGGGCTCAGCGGAGTGACGCCCTACGGGGACTCAGATTAGACCTCGCCACCCCTGGGGGGCCGTGATCCGTGAAACTGTCGCCACTTTCGAAGGCTGCTGGGGGGCCAGCGGAGTGACGTCCTACGGGGACTCAGATTAGACCTCGCAGGCGCTGGGGGGCTACGATCTGTGAAACTGTCGCCACTTTCGAGGGCTTCTGGGGGGCCCAGCACAGTGGGCACCCACGGCGGATTCAAATGGGACCTCGCCATCCCTGGGGGGCTGCGATCTGTGAAACTGTCGCCACTTTCGAGGGCTGCTGGGGGGCCCAGCACAGTGGGCACCCGCGGCGGATTCAAATGGGACCTCGCCATCCCTGGGGGGCTGCGATCTGTGAAACTGTCGCCACTTTCGAGGGCTGCTGGGGGGCCCAGCACAGTGGGTACTCACGGCAGACTCAAACGGGACCTCGCCATCCCTGGGGGGCTGCGATCTGTGAAATTGTCGCCACTTTCGAGGCCTGCTGGGGGGCCCAGCACAGTGGGTACCCACGGCGGATTCAAATGGGACCTCGCCATCCTTGGGGGGCTGCGATCTGTGAAACTGTCGCCACTTTCGAGGCCTGCTGGGGGGCCCAGCGGAGTGACGCCCTACGGGGATTCAGATTAGACCTCGCCATCCCTGGGGGGCTGCGATCTGTGAAACTGTCGCCACTTTCGAGGCCTGCTGGGGGGGCCAGCGGAGTGACGCCCTACGGGGATTCAGATTAGACCTCGCCATCCCTGGGGGGCTGCGATCTGTGAAACTGTCGCCACTTTCGAGGCTGCTGGGGGGCCCAGCGGAGTGACGCCCCACGGGGATTCAGATTAGTCCTCGCCATCCCTGGGGGGCTGCGATCTGTGAAACTGTCGCCACTTTCGAGGGCTGCTGGGGGGCCCAGCACAGTGGGTACCCATGGCGGATTCAAATGGGACCTCGCCATCCCTGGGGAGCTGCGATCTGTGAAACTGTCGCCACTTTCGAGGGCTGCTGGGGGGCCCAGCACAGTGGGTACTCACGGTTGATTCAAATTAGACCTCACCATCCCTGGGGGGCTGCGATCTGTGAAACTGCAGCCACTTTCGAGGCATGCTGGGGGGGCCAGCACAGTGGGTAGTCACGGCGGATTCAAAGGCTGCTGGGGGCTGCGATCTGTGAAACTGTCGCCACTTTCGAGGGCTGCTGAGGGGCCCAGCACAGTGGGTACTCACCGCAGATTCAAATGGGACCTCGCCATCACTGGGGGGCTGCGATCTGTGAAACTGTCGCCACTTTCGAGGGCTGCTGAGGGGCCCAACACAGTGGGTACTCACCGCAGACTCAAATGGGACCTCGCCATCCCTGGGGGCTGCGATCTGTGAAACTGTCGCCGCTTTCGAGAGCTGCTGAGGGGCCCAGCACAGTGGGTACTCACCGCAGACTCAAATGGGACCTCGCCATCCCTGGGGGGCTGCGATCTGTGAAGCTGTCGCCACTTTCGAGGGCTGCTGAGGGGCCCAACACAGTGGGCTTCCCGCACGTCTTTCTCCTGCTCTTCGCTCCCGTCTCCCCATGTCCTCTTCGAGCCTGTAGCTGTTGCCCTTCTTTCTTGTATGGTTCTCCTGCGCATCATGCCATAGGCGCGTGTCCCAAGTAGCTTACATATCAAACAACGGATCCTGCAATTTGATTGTCCATGCAAGTTTCGGTCAACTCCTCGTTTCCCATGATACAAATGGGCTGGGTACGTCACAGGGTAATTTGTTTGCTCGAGCGAGCGAGCAAGCCTTAGAGTAGGATCGCGTCGCAGTAGGTAGGGTTCTACTATGGGGAGGGGAGGCCCAGAGGGGGCCCCATCCCCGTTCGACCCCCCCCCCCCTTGCACAAGTGAGTGGGGGGGGGGCCCGTAGGTTCGAACCCCCCCCTTGCAGCAACTGCAACTCGGGGGGGGGGGGCCGATTCGAACCCCCCTCCATCCATTGGGCCAGGGCGGGGGAGCCAGGTCGAACCACCACCACCCACTGCAACCCTCGGACAGTGGGGGGGGAGCGCCAGCTCGAGCCCCCCCCCCCTTGAATGGAGAAGGGGTCCAGTTAGTGAGGCCGGTATCAAGGGGGGGGGGGGGGGGGGGGCGCGGCGCAGCCCCGCTAGTCGAGTAGAAATGACACACGAGCGGAGACAACAACACACAGGATTCCATGATTGCATAAAGAAAATGTTAGCCAGCGTGGACATCAAACAGTGAGTGTTGCACTGTGGAGGTGGAAGCTATGCGGTGCAAGCAACGTGGTACAATGTTTGTCGTGTAAGCTACATGGTGTGAGCTCTGGGTGTGAAAGCTATGCGGTGTGACACATGTGAGCGCTATGTTGTGTCATGTGTGTGGTGCGAGCTGGAGGTGTAAGCTGTGCTGTGCGAGCTCTGAGCGTGTGTAGACTTACGCGGTGCAATACACTTGGCGAGCACTGCGTCGTGTACTGTCTGTAGTGCGAGCTGGAGGTGCTAGCTGCGTAGCGCAATGTGTGCAGTGCTCTGTCGTGCAGGCTGCGTGGCGTGAGCTCAGCCCACGGGGCGCCCACGCGGCGGCACGGGCGGCAGCGCGGCGCGACCTCGGCGGACCCACCCGGCGCACGGGGCGCCCGCGAGGCGGCACGGGGCGGCAGCGCGGAAGGTCCTCGGCGGACCCGTCCAACGATTTCGGAACGCGAAGCAGGAGCCCCGAAGTGCCAGCACGGCTTCGGGAGCAAGACAGCCAGTCATGAGCATTCTTCGCAGCCTCGCGTGCCCCAGGGGGTGGTGGATCTAGTGCTTGCGGGTCCACATGTGCATTTGCAGTCGGATGTGCATGTCGCTCTGCATATCTCTCAGGGTAACAATAAGATAACCGATGGGACATCCACAGGACGTCCAGAAGATAGCAACAGGACAATCAGATAACAACCCACGGGCAACCATGCGACAACCCATGAAATATCCCACGGGGCAGTCACAGGACAACCCACTGGACAACCATGGGACAACCTCTGGGGCCACCACCGTAGTCAGTTTGTCCGACCTGGCTCCAGCTACGACTGACACATCAAGGACCTCGCGCAGCTTGGCCTCGCGGGCGCGACACAGTCCGAAACCGACACCAGACTAGCGGTTGCCCGCATCTTCGAGCCCGCCCTTTCGGAGGGTGCGGGGTGCCGGCGCACAGCTTGGAGGCCCCACGGGGAGCCGGAGGATTGCGACCATTGCCACCCGTGGTGCGGGAGCGGAAGATGCAGCATGTCTATTACATGAGCGACGCAGAGAAACGGGCGCCAGTGTGCCGACGTTCGCGCGCAAGTTGCCTGCTCAAGCGCCTCTTCTCCACGCAGTGGGCCACGCTACGCTGGCGGTCCGCGTAAGCCGCGGCGCGAGGTCGCCATGCCATCTCGCGCGAGCCCCGCGTCTCTTTGTCGCGCACATGAACTTCTGCACGCTGTCGTACACCATGGCGTTCTGGGACTGGCCGCAGTGGGAGCACGAGCTGGACTTCAGCATCGTTTAACCGATCCTTGTCCCCATCCCCATCCACATCTCGAGCCCCACTGCCTCACCACCTCAGTTGGGGATATGCCCCTCGAAAGCCGAAGAGAGCAGCCTATATCCCCTTCCAGGGGGGCAAATCGGCCAGTGGGACACAGCCCACGCTGTTGGGATGGGGATCGGTGAAGCGATGCTCAGGACTGGATGGCGCTGCATGGTGTCACCATGCCCTTGGTGGTGCTCGGCAGGGAGGCGGTCATGATGAGGCTCCTGCTCGAGCTGGGCCTCGCGCAGGAGGCCGTGCTGGAGTTCTTCACCGGGCCGGCGTTCTTGGCGTGGCACCGCATTCGGGAGCGGCCAAGAGGGGGGCGATGATTAGGGGGTTGTGGTTGACGGACAGCGCGCGTAGCGTCGCGATCCGTTAGCCGGGAGAAATAACAAGAGTGGGGTAGGGGGGTAGGCAGCCGGACCTCCAGATGACGGAAAGCGCGCGTAGCGTGCGATCCGTTAGTCGGAAGGAATGAAACTAGGGGGAGTTCGAGGGGGGTGGCATCCCGTCCCCCAAGGATCTAATGCCCTTTTCCTTGTTAACGGAGCCTTTAACATGGAAAGGCAGGTGCTTGAGCGGGAGGAAAGTTGCACGGAATTCCTTGTTAACGGGTGCGCGAGCGGGGACAGGGCCTCGTTAACATTGAATTCCATGTAAATTTACTGTTAACGGATACCTGAGCGGGGTCAGGTGCTTGTTAACATGGAATTCTTTGTTAACGGGTGCGTAAGCTCCGCGTAAGCTCGCGTAAGCCCCGCGTAAGCGCGCAAGCTCCTCGCCAGCTTAAGGTACCAGACGGCGTAAGAGAGGCCCAGACGGGCCCGAGGACGGCCCAAGAGCGATCCAAGATAGCCCAAGATGGCCTCAGTACAGCCCAAGAGGCCTCCAAGACACCCAAAGCGGCCCCCGAGAGGACCCACAAAAGTGCCGCACGACGCAAAAACCATTGTTGTCGTTAGGTTTGTAAAGGTTTTCCAGCTTCTCGTTTTTCGGGCAAGAACGGCCTGATACAGCTCCAGGGCCCCCCGAGATGGTGCCATGACGGCCCGAGAGGCTCCCCAGAGGGCCTGAGGACGGCCCAAAAGGGCCCCAATACGGCTTCAGATAGCCACAAGACGGCCTAAGGAGGGCCTGGGAGAGGCCCAAGATGCTCCCAAGAGACAGTATGTCCCTGAAGAGGCCTCCTGCGGCTTCTAGATAGCCCTAGAGGGCGCCCAATATGCCACCAAGATGCCCAAAGAGAGCCTCCAGACGGGGAGACAGAGAGAAAGAACGGGCAAGCCAGCGACATCTCGCGCTCTGAAATTAAATGCGCTTTCCGTCCCCGTGCCAAGCAGGTGACGGAAAGAGCGTGGTACGAAGTGATGACGTTTTGGTGGGGCGAAGCTTCTGGGGCGCACCGCCAGTGTAATGGCGCGTTTCCCTCGTTTTTTTTCGAGTGCAGCGGCTCCCGGGCGGCTCCCATGGTTTGTTTCTTCACATTGTGTTGTGAACCGGCCAGAGGGCCCCAAGACAGCCCAAGAGGGCCCCAAAACGGCTTCAGAGGGCCCCAAGACGGCCCAAAGAGAGCTTCAGATGGCCTCCAAACGGCCCAAGAGAGTCTCGAGACGGCTCCAGAGGCCCTCAAGAGGGCCTCCGAGAGGGCCTCAGGAGGTCAATTAGCCTGGCGAAGGACCCAACCATATGCAGTTGAGAGTACCGCAATTGTGAATATCTTCTTCGGTGGAGCTCCCTATGGGGCCACGAAACGTGTGAGGGGTGTGCCGAAATGGGTGTGCGGGACGCATGCGGCCGGCAGCACTGGGGCCTTCGGTGGAGCTCCCTGTGGGGCCACGAAACGTGTGAGGGGTGTGCCGAAATGGGTGTGCGGGACGCATGCGGACGGCAGCCATGGGGCCTTCGGTGGAGCTCCCTATGGGGCACGAAACGTGTGAGGGGTGTGCCGAGATGGGTGTGCGGGACGCATGCGGACGGCAGCGCTGGGGCCTTCGGTGGAGCTCCCTATGGGGCCACGAAACGTGTGAGGGGTGTGCCGAAATGGGTGTGCGGGACGCATGCGGACGGCAGCACTGGGCCTTCGGTGGAGCTCCCTGTGGGGCCACGAAACGTGTGAGGGGTGTGCCGAAATGGGTGTGCGGGACGCATGCGGACGGCAGCACTGGGGCCATCGGTGGAGCTCCCTGTGGGGCCACGAAACGTGTGAGGGGTGTGCCGAAATGGGTGTGCGGGACGCATGCGGACGGCAGCACTGGGGCCTTCGGTGGAGCTCCCTGGGGGGCCACGAAACGTGTGAGGGGTGTGCCGAAATGGGTGTGCGGGACGCATGCGGACGGCAGCCATGGGGCCTTCGGTGGAGCTCCCTGTGGGGCCACGAAACGGGTGAGGGGTGTGCCGAAATGGTGTGCGGGACGCATGCGGACGGCAGGCCATGGGGATGGCTAGCAGTGCTCATGGGGGCCAAGAAATCGTTGGAAGGGGTTGTGCAGTAATGGTGTGCGGGAACGCATGCGGACGGGCTGCAATTAGGAGGCCTTCGGTTGGAGACTTTTTCTTATGATGCTTTTCTGTGGGGCCACGTATCGTGCGAGGGGTGTGCCGGAGCGAAGCTCCCCTTGCTCGTTGAGGGACAGATTGCGGACGGCAGTCTCTAGGGCCTTAGGTGGAGCTCACTGGGGGCCACGAAAGTGTGAGGGGTTTTTGTGCCGACAATGGGTATCGTGCGGGAGAATGCGGACGCAGCACTGGGGCTTCGGTGGGAGCTCCTGTGGGCACGAAAAAACGTTGTGAGGGGTGTCTTGATTATTGTGTGCGAAATTGGGTGTGCGGACGCATGCGGACGGCAGCCATGGGGCCCCTTCGGTTGGAGAGCTCCCTATGAGGCCACGAAAGTGGGAGGGGTGTGCACCGAAAAAATGGGGTGGGCGGGACCACGCATGCGGACGGCAGCCTTTGGGCTTCGGTGGAGCTCTAGTGGGGCACGAAACGTGGTGAGGGTTGTGTCCCGGAAAATGGGTGTGCGGGACGCATTGCGGACGGTAGCCTTGGGCCTTAGGCGGAGCTCCCTGTGGAGCCACGAAAACGTGTGAGGGGCTGGTGCGACCGATATGGGTGTGCGGGGGATGATGCGGACGGCAGCACTGGGGCCTTCGGTGGAGCTCCCTGTGGGGCCACGAAACGTGTGAGGGGTGTGCCGAAATGGGTGTGCGGGACGCATGCGGACGGCAGCCTTGGGGCCTTCGGTGGAGCTCCCTATGGGGCCACGAAACGTGTGAGGGGTGTGCCGAAATGGGTGTGCGGGACGCATGCGGACGGCAGCACTGGGGCCTTCGGTGGAGCTCCCTGTGGGGCCACGAAACGTGTGAGGGGTGTGCCGAAATGGGTGTGCGGGACGCATGCGGACGGCAGCACTGGGCCTTCGGTGGAGCTCCCTGTGGGGCCACGAAACGTGTGAGGGGTGTGCCGAAATGGGTGTGCGGGACGCATGCGGACGGCAGCCATGGGGCCTTCGGTGGAGCTCCCTCTGGGGCCACGAAACGTGTGAGGGGTGTGCCGAAATGGGTGTGCGGGACGCATGCGGACGGCAGCCACTGGGGCCTTCGGTGGAGCTCCCTATGGGGCCACGAAACGTGTGAGGGGTGTGCGAGAGCAAAGGAAGGAGGAGGAGGAGGAGGAGGAGGAGGGGGGAGGAAGGAGGAGGAGGAAGGAGGAAGGAGACGCGGGGCACCGTCTCTTCAAAACGAGGACCCAACACCACAGGATGGTTGGGAAAAACATTGATTTCCCTCCGGTTTTTGCAGGTTTCTCGGGTTCTCCCTTTTTCATTCCCAAAGGGCCCCAGACGGCCCCACAGGCCCCAAAGATCGTCCCAAGACGACAAGACGGCCCCAGATGCCCCCCAAAGGGGCCGAAAATAGTCCAAGAGGGCCCCCAGACGTTCCAAGAGGGCCCCAATACGGCCCAAGAGGCCCCCAGACGGCCCCAAGAGAGCCCCAAGAGGGCCCCAACCAAGGGACTGGGCTGGCCCAAAGACGGCCCAAGAGTCCCAAAACGGTCCAAAAGGGCCCTCAGTAGGTTCCCAAGAAACCCCAGAGACGCTAAGAAACACCATGGTTCCCACAGCGAGCGGTGACGCAACAAGCTCTGAACACCAAGGCTCCCCAGAGCGCGGTGATGCAAACAACTCTCAACACCAAGGCTCCCAGGAGCGAGCGGCAACGTAAAAGTTTCTGAACACCAAGGCACCCAAGAGCGAGCGGTGACTCAGCAAGCTCTTACCACCAAGGCTCCCAAGAGCGAAGGGTGCCGTGAGCCCTCTCGGGCAAGTTCCTGGTCCACTCTTTCCGTTCCAGTGCCCGCCCAGGTAACGGAAAGAGCGAGGTACGAGTGATGCACGTCTTGGTGGGGCGAAGCCCTCTAGGGAGGAGTGCAGAGGAGGGGCGAGGCGGGGATGACCCAGATGTAATGGACTTCCTCGTACTTTTTTCAAGTGAAGCGGCTCCCGGGCGGCTCCCATGGCCCGTTTCTTCGTATTTTTTGTTGGTGAAGCGGCCCAAGGGCCCCAAGACGGCCCAAGAGGGCACCAAAAAGGTCCAAGAGGGCCCCCAGGCGGGCCCAAGACGGCCCAAGAGGCCCCAAAGATCGTCCCAAGACGGCCCCAGAGGCCCCGCAAAGGGCCCGAAAACGGTCCAAGAGGGCTAGACGGCCCAAGAGGGCCCAAAGACGACTCGAGACGGCCCCCAGACGGCCCCAAGAGAGCGCCAAGAGGGCCCCAAGAGGCTCCCAAGCGGGCCCCAGGAGGAGAGGGAGGAAGAGGAGGAGGGGGAGGAGGAGGAGAAGGAGGAGGAGAATGAGGAGAATGAGGAGAATGAGGAGAAAGAGGAAGAGGAGGAAGAGGAGGAAGAGGAGGAAGAGGAGGAGGAGGAGGAGGAGAAGGAGGAGGAGAAGGAGGAACGAGGGCGAGGCCAATGGAGGAAGAGAAGGAGGAGGAGGAGGAGGAGGAGGAGGAGGAGGAGGAGAAAGAGGAGGAGGAGGAGGAGGCGGAGGAAGGGAGGTAGAAGAGGAGGAGGAGGAGGAGAAAGAGGAGGAGGAAGAGGAGGAGGAGGAGGAGGAGGACAAGTGTAAAACCAAGAGCCATCAACGATGTTGGAATAAACCCTCCCTCCAAGCTCCCTCTCCATAGGCCCCCACAACGGTGCATTTCCACTGAGGGAACTACCACGTTGGAAGACAACCGTTTGAAGATCCTGCAGCATGCCAAAACATCGTTCCCGGGACGAGGGAGGAGAGGAGGAGGAGGAGGAGGAGGAGGAGGAGGAGGAGAGGAGGAGGGAGGGGAGGAGGGAGGAGGAGGAGGAGGAGGAGGAGGAGGAGGAGGAGGAGGGAGGAGGAGGAGGGAGGAGGGAGGACGAGGACGAGGACGAGGACGAGGGAGAGGAGGAGGAGGAGGAGGAGGAGGAGACGAGGACGAGGACGAGGGAAGGAGGAGGAGGAGGAGGAGGAGGAGGAGGAGGAAGTCAGGAGTGGAGGAAGGGAGGTAGAAGGAGAAGAAGGAGAGGAGGAAGAAGAGGTGGAGGAGGAGGAGGAAGAGGAGGAGGAGGAGGAGGCCGAGGAGGATGAGGAGGAGGGAGGAGGAGGTGGAGGAGGTGGAGGAGGAGGACGACGAGAGAGGGAGAGGAGGGAGAGGAGGAGGAAGGATGAGGAGGAGGAGGAGGGGGAAAGAGGAGGACGAAGGAGGAGGAGGAGGGAGGAGGAGGAGGAGGAGGAGGAGGAGGAGGAGGAGGAGGAGGAGGAGGAGGACAAGGGGAGGAGGAGGAGGAGAGGAGGAAGAGGAGGAGAGGAGGAGGAGGAGGAGGAGGAGGGAGGAGGAGGACGAGGACGAGGACGAGGAGGAGGAGGAGGAGGAGCCAGTAGGAGGAGGAGGAGTCAGGAGTCATGAGGAGGAGGAGGAGGAGGAGGAGGAGGAGGAGGAGGAGGAGGAGGAGAAAGAAGAGGAGGAGGAGGAGAAGAGGAGGAGGAGGAGGAGGAGAAGAAGGAGGAGTAAGGCTCTCAACTGAGAGCGGTGACGTAGCACGCGCTTGCCAGCAAGGCTCCCAAGAGCGAGCGAGCAGTGACGCAACAAGCCCTTACCGCCAAGGCTCCCCAGAGCGAGCGGCAACGTAAGCATCTCTGGGCACGAGGACTCTGAACAGAGAGCGGTGACGCAACGAGCTCTTCCCAGCAAGGCTTCCAAGAACGAGCGGTGACGCAGCAAGCTCGGGCCGAAAACGGTCCACGAGGGCCCCCAGACGTTCCAAGAGGGCCCCAAGACTGCCCAAGAGGGCCCCCAGACGGCCCCAAGAGAGCCCCAAGAGGGCCTCAAGCGGGTACGAAAAGGCGGTATGGGGTCTGGGGTCTGGGCTGCTTGGGTGCCGGGACTGGGCTGGCCCAAAGACGGCCCCAGAGTCCCGAAACGGTCCGAGAGGGCCCCCAATAGATTCCCAGGGCCGCTTCGGAGGCCTCAAACGAGCTTTAGGAGGGCTCCCAGAGAGCCCAAGAGGAGCCCCGAGCCAGCCCCCCGACATACCAGGGCCCTTTGGTATGATTCCGTCGGGCCTCGTTTCCGAGGCCTTGTTGGATCTTTTCGGAGTTGCACTCCGCCCTTCTTGGAGCCCTCGTGGGCCCCTCCAAGACCGCTTCGGAGGCCTGCCAAGGAACACCATGGTTCCCCACAGCGGGTGGTGACGCAACAAGCTCTGAACACCAGGGCTCCCCCGAGCGCGGTGACGCAAACAACTCTCAACACCAAGGCTCCCAGGAGCGCGCGGCAACGTAAGAGTCTCTGAACACCAGGGCTCCCAACAGAGAGCGGTGACGCAACAAGCTCGTACCACCGAGGCTCCCAAGAGCGAAGGGTGCCGTGAGCCCTCTCGGGCAAGTTCTTGGTTCACTCGTTCCGTTCCCGTGCCGGCCCAGGTGACGGAAAGAGCGGAGCGAGAGACGTTTCGTTGTGGCGTGTGCGCCTCCATAGGCCATAGGGGGAGTGCACATGGGGATTGTATAGGTCGAACGGCCATTTTTTCCGTGGCCATTGTCAGATTGTAAGGACAGTTGTTCATGGAATCTCCGTGCAGAGCGAGCCTTCTACGCTTTTCGGTGCAAAGCTAAATTTAAACGGATGTAGACACCGATCTATATGGAGTGTCCGTGCAAATCGATATCTACCCAGATGTAGACAGATTTACACGCAATCTCTGCGCAAAGCGATATTAACTTAGATGCAGACACCAGGGAATCATTCTGTGTAGACGGAACTATCCGTGCAAAGCGATTATTACACAGATGAAGGCATCGTTTTGCATGGGATAACGAGTTTCAAACGCTCTTGGGAAGTTCGAATGTTGGAACACGCTTCATGATTAGCTTATATAAATGTGCGCGTTGACTCATACATATATACACGTATACGGTAGTTGTGGGAATTGTGACGTACCAAGCTCTGGACACCAAGGCCCCCAAGAGCTCTTAGTGGCGTGGCAAGCTCATCGCACCAAGGCTCTCAAGAGCGAGCGGCGACGTAAACAACTCTGAACACTAAGGCTGCCAAGAGCGAGCGGCGACGGAAACATCTCGGAACACCAAGGCTCCCAAGAGCGAGCGGAAATGCTAAAATCTCTGCAGACCAAGTCTCCTAGGAGCGAGACGGCCCAAGAGGGCGCGAAGACGGCCCAAAAAGGTTCCCAGACGGCCCCAAGAGAGCCCCAAGAGGCTCACAAGCGGGCCCCAGGAGGAGGATGAGGAGGAGGAGGAGGAGGACGACGACGACGGGGAGGAGGGGAAGGAGGAGGAGGAGGAGGAGGTACAAGAAGAGGAGGAGGAGGAGGAGGAGGAGGAGGAGGAGGAGGGGAAGGAGGGGAATGAGGAGGAGGAGGAGGAGAGAGAGGAGAAGAGAAAGAGGAGGAGAAAGAGGAGGTGGACGAAAAGGACGAGGACGAGGGAGGAGGAGGAGGAGAAAGAGGAGGTGGAGGAGAAGGACAAGGGAGGACGAGGAAGGAGGAGGAGGAGGTGGAGGAGGAGGAGGAGGAGAGAGAAGGAGAGAGGAGGAGGAGGGAGGAGGAGGAGGTGGAGGAGGAGGAGGAGGAGGAGGAGCACGAGGACGAGGACGAGGGAGGAGGAGGAGGAAGAGGAGGAACAGAAAGAGGGAGGAGGAGGAGGAGGAGGAGGAGGAGGAGGAGGAGGAGGAGGCAGAGGAGGAGGAGGAGGAGGAGGAGGAGAAGAAGAAGAAAAGGAAGAGAAGGAGGAGGAGGAGGAGGAGCAAGGCTACCGACTGAGAGCGGTGACGTAGCACGCGCTTGCCAGCAAGGCTCCCAAGAGCGAGGGATGACGCAACAAGCCCTTACCACCAAGACTCCCAAGAGCGAGCGGCAACGTAAGCATCTCTGGGCACGAGGACTTTGAACAGAGAGCGGTGACGCAACAAGCTCTTCCCAGCAAGGCTCCCAACAGAGAGCGGTGACGTAACACGCGCTTGCCAGCAAGGCTCCCAAGAACGAGCGGTGACGCAACAAGCTCTTAACACCAGTGCTCCCAAAAGCGAAGGGTGCCATGAGCCATCTCGGGCAGGTCCCGTGCCGGCCCAGGTGACGGAAAGAGAGAGGTACGAGTGATGTACGTTGAGTTGGGGCGACACCCTCTAGGGAGGGGTCCAGGTCTGATGGCCCCCCCCTTCTTCGTTCCGTGCACTCCCTGCCGCCCCCCCCCCACCCCGCGTCCGCGCACGTGCCCCTGGGCGTGACTTGCAGCCCCCCCTCCCCTCCCTTGGACGCCCCCGACGCCTGGGCAACCTGAAGCGCTTCGGCGGGCCCCTGCCCCTCGGATACCTGCGGCACTCGGAGGCGCTGACCCGCCGGATGCTGGCACGGGCCCGGGAGCTGGGCATGCGCCCAGTGCTGCCCGGCTTCGGCGGCCACGTCCCAGACCGCAGAGGAGGAAACTGCTGACCATGCCGCTACCCTTCCCGCGTGTTCGCTTCTTTTGGGCTTCTAGGGGGGCCATCGTCGCCACCGCTGGGTTCGCCTCGACATCCTGGTCAGAGCGCACCCCAGGAGAGGTCTGGGAAGCATTGGTATCGGTGCCTCGTGTCTCCCCAGGACCAGTTGCAGGAGCTCTTCCCCTCGGAGCCGTTCTCGCGCCTGCCGCTGTGGTCGGGCTTCTCGGCCGAATTCTCTGGGCTGCTGTTTGTGGAGCCCGCCAGCGACCTCTACGTGCGGCTTGGCAAGCGGTTCATCGAGATACAGACCGAGATGTTTGGCACCGACCATCTCTATTCGGCGGCAAGCCCAGGGGGAAATGCAGAAGAGGCGGGCCTTCTCAGAAGGCTCAGAAGGCCGTGGGTTTTCTGAAAAGTGTTCCAAGCCTTCCCTGAAGGTAGAGGCGGCTTCCCAGAAGGCGCGAGGGCCTCTGAGAAGCCACGCCGCGCTCTGAGAAGGCCTGCCCCCTCTCACTTCCCCCCTGGCTGGCCGCCGGTCTATGCCGTCGACCAGTTCAACGAGAACAACCCTCGCTCCCGAGAGCCGGGCTACCTCAGGGCGTGCGGGCACGCGCAGCTGGCCGCGCTGCGCGGCGCTGACCCGGAGGCCATCTGGGTGGTGCAGGGGTGGCTGTTCGTGAACTCGAGGGCGTTCTGGGGCGAGGAGCAGATCGAGGCCTACCTCCACCCTGTGCCCCGCGAGCATATCTTGGTCCTGGATCTTATCAGTGAGGCTCATCCAGCATACAGCAGCACGCGGTCGTACCACGGGAGGCCATTCCTGTGGTCCGTCCTGCACAACTTCGGTGGGCAGGTGGGTCTGCGGGGGAACCTGCGCACTGTGATGGACAGGCCTTATGCTGCCGCCAGACAGGCCGAGGGCACAATGGTGGGCATAGGGTTGACCATGGAGGCGATCAATCAGAACCCTGTGGTGTACGAGCTCGCCCTCGACCACGTCTGGAACCCAGAGCCGCGCGACCTGGGCCAGTGGTTGCGAACGTGGGTGCGCGCCCGGTACGGATACCTCGAAGCAACCATGGACGAAGTTTCTGAGTCGTTTGTCGGACAGTGTTCCGATGGGCCTGAAGAGGAGATTGCAAAAGGCGAGTCGGAGCGTTGCCTCGCGAGCACGGACGCCCAGACGGCCTGGCAGCTCTTGCTGCGGTCGTGCTACAGCGCGATGGACCAGCAAGGCAACGGATTCTGGGGGGTACCCAGGTCCGTCATCGAGAAGCGCCCGTCGATGCGCGTGGGGGCAGTGGTGACGACAGGCTTCCAGGGAACCGCGGTACGCTACGATGCGTGCGAGCTAGTGGAGGCGTGGCTGCACCTAGAGCAGGCCGTTGAGAAGGCCACCTCAGCCAGTGCAGATTTGACTGGGAGCGCACTGGAGTTGGACCTGGTGGAGCTGACCCGCCAGGCGCTTGCCAACCACGCGCAGGCGCTCTACCTGGACTTCGTCAAGCAGGCCCTGGCGACAGAGGCCCGGGCAGTGCCAGGGGGGGGCCCCGGGTAAGGGGTTACGGAGTCAAGGATGTCACCACATCCTCGTGGAAAATTGGGGATCGAGGAGGAGGAGGGGGATCGACGATCGAGCAGGCCCTGGACGTCCCTGGGGGCTTCCTCGAAAGTCTTTGGGGTCGGGGGGGGGCTCAGCGCCCAGCGGGGGGCCGCTTCCTGGAGGGAGGGTGGCGAGCCCCTGAGCACGCGATGTTTTTGAAAACCCTCGCGCGTCAAGCTTTGGGGCTTGCTCAAAGGAGACGCGTTTCGCCCCTGGACGGCGTGACCCCCCTCGGCATGGCCCGAGAGGCGTCCGTCGACGCGCTGGAGGCGGCGAGGGCGCAGTTCCTGCAGCTCCTGGGCGACCTCGACGCGCTGCTCGCCGCCGCCGCCGCCGCCTCGCCGCGCGCCGCCGGCCACTTCTCGGCGGGCGCATGGCTCTGATGAGGAAAGACCGACACAAACCCTAAAATGATCCTGGCGAAGGACCCAATCATGAAGCTCTCCATGGGGTAATGCAGCGCTGCACTGGGTGGGGGGAACGCTGTACTGAGTGGGTGGTGTGCCACATTGGGCTTCCGGGACGCATGCGGACGGTCCGACGGGGCGTTTCGGTGGAGCTTCCTATGGGGCCACGAAACGTTGTAATGAGTGTGTGAAAATGTCACATTGGGCTTCGGGGACGCATGCGGACAGTGGCACTGGGGCCTTCGGTGGAGCTCCCTAGGGGGCCACGAAACGTTTTACTGGGTGGAAGGAAATGCCAAATTCAGTTTTCCAGACGCACGCAGACGGTCCCACTGGGCGTTTCGGTGGAGCTCCCTTTGGAGCCACGAAACGCTGTATTGGGCGGGTAACAATGCCACATTGGGTTTTCGGGACGCATGCGGACGGTGGCACTGGGGCCTTCGGTGGAGCTCCCTATAGGGTCACGAAACTTTGTGCTGGGTGAGTGAAAATGCCACATTGGGTGTTTCGGAACGCTTGCGGACAGTCCCACTGGGGCCTTCGGTGGGGCTCCCTATGGGGCCACGAAACGCTGTACTGGGTGGGTGAAACTGCCACATTGTGTTTTCGGGACGCATGCGGACGGCGGCACTGGGGCCTTCGGTGGAGTTCCCTTTGGGGCCACGAAACGCTGATCTGGGTGGGCGAAAATCCCAAATTAGGTGTTTCGGGACGCATGCGGACGGTCCCACTGGTGGTTTCGGTGGAGCTTCCTGTGGGGCCACGAAACGTTGTAATGTGTATGCGGGACGCATGCGGCCGGCAGCACTGGGACCTTCGGTGGGGCTCCATATGGAACCACGAAACGCTGTACTGGGTGGGTGAAACGCAAGGAGGAGGGGGAGGAGGGACGAGGGAGGAGGGGAGGAGGAGGAGAGTGAGGACGCGGGGCGCTGTCTCTTCAAAACGAGGACCCAACACCGCAGGATGGTTGGGAAAAATGTTGATGTGGGTCTCCAGCGTGGAAAAATGTTAGCCAACATCGGCCCCAAACAGCGTTTTTCTAGCAGTCGGCGTTTCGCAATATATGATTGCAGCATACATGGAATTATCTGTGCTGTGCCATATATGTAGTGCAATAAATGTGTTGTAACCTATGTTGTAGAATGCTGGTGGTGCAAACCATGTTGCGCAAGTGATGTATACATTCACACAGCTAGATACTCGTATGTGTATATACACCTATGCACAAGACTGTATTGACGCTTCGCGCTCTGCGCCTTGTTCTGGACGCTTCCCCTGCAAAGCAATAAATCTTCGCTTGCTTCAGCAGGGGGGACCTCGAGGCCTGGTTGTGTCTTCATACGTTCCTTCATTTTTTTTTGTCGTTCTATGTTTGGGTTCCTCCCGTTGACCTCCTCCTTTGTGGTCCGCCTCTTATGGGAGGAGGTAGGGAGGAAAGTGCCGTCGGGCTTTTCATCTGTCACCCCCAAGGTCTATCCCTACCCATTTCTTCCTCCGCCTTTCCTCCTCTTCCGCCTGTTCCGGTGGTTGAGTCCATCCTTTGAGGAAATAAGGAGCGTTCCCATGACACGCCGAAGAAGTTGCAGTTGTTCCGAACAAATCGATAGTTGGTCGCTTCCTGAATGCCTAGAGGGCTTCAGGCCTTCAGGAAATATTGGATCGTCGAACTTCGAATCTACATCCATTGCCTGTCTCTCCCGATCGAAGAATTCTAGACTTTTCGCGTATCCCCACCAGCCCAGCCAGAAACGATGTCCAGGCGAGTTGAGAGGTGATCAGGGAAGTGCGGGAGCAAGGAGGTGGACGGCCGAACCGTGTGAAGGAGAGAGGGGGGGCGAAGGAGAGAATTGGATGGATGGATGAGGGAGGAGAGAGAAGGAGGATGAGTAGCAGGAGGAGGAGGAGGAGGCGGAGGGGGAGGAGGAGGAGGAGGAGGAGGAGGAGAAGGGATAGGAGGAGGAAGGAGGAGGAGGAGAGCAACCAAAAGGGCCAGAGGTCTCTTGGATGCTTCTCGGAGCCTCTTGGGGTATCTCTTGGGCGTCTTGGGACGTATTGGGGGTCTCGTGGCGGCCGTGGGGGGCTCTTCGGCGTCTGGGGTGCCTCGGGGGGGGCCTCTTTGGGCCGCTTGGGATCCTTCTGGGGGCCTCCTGGGGGCCTCTTGGGGCCATCTTGGGGGGTTGGGATTATTTGGGGGGCCTCCTGGGGGCCTCTTGGGGCCATCTTGGGGCCCTTTTGGGACCTTTTGGGGCCTCCTGGGCGCTTCTTGGGGCCATCTTGGAGGATCGATCAAACAAGAGGGACACTTGAATTAGGCCCCCCCCCAAGAAGCCAAAATGGGGCCAACACCCTAGTAAAACCAATGTTTTTTGGCTACCTCGCCGAGGCCGTTTTGGACGCTCCGACACCTCGCGAAACCTTTTTGTCCAGGTCCAGGGGAGGGGGTAGGGGGAGGGGTACCCCCCCCCCCCCCGAAGGGGAAGAAGGAGGGCTGGAAGAGGAAACGCCCTAAACCACCGACGCCCAGAGGGTTGGTGGGACTCCTCGAGCCTCACACGCGGAACCAAGATCGTCGGTTCAGTTCAATGTACTTCGTAGGAGAACGCCGTCTGAGCGTTTTTGGGGATCTTTTGGGCTGGCCTGGGGCCCTCTTGGGGGCCATCCTGGAGCCTTATTGGGCCGTTTTCGGGGAGCTGCGGCCCTCCAGAGGTCTTCTGAAGCCATCTAGGGCCGTCTTGGGGGCCTCCACTGGCCTCTTTGTGGGTATCCCATGGTTTTCGTGGGTCTCTCTTTGGAGCCTTGTGGGGGCATCTTGGGTTTCTTGTGGGCAGTCTCGGGGCCCTCTAGGGCAGTCTCGGTGCCATCTTGGGCCGTCTATCCTCTTGGGGGCCTCTCGGGCCGTCTTGGGGCGATATCGCAGGCCCATCGGGCCGTCTTGGGCGAAGACCCAAAAAGCGGATGCGCTAAGGAAAAATCCGAAGGAAATGTGCCGATGTTTGCTTTTTCGGGACACTCTTGACGGCCTTTTGAAGCGTGTTGGGAGCGTGTTGTGGGCCTCTTGGGCCGTCTTCAGACCACCGAGGTTCCTCTTGGAGCGCTGTTGTGTTGTCTTGGGTCTCTCTTGCGCTTCTCCGATGACCCCACTGATCTCCTTGAGTCTGCTCGCAAGGCCCGACAAGGCGCTTTGGGAGGCCGGGAAGGGCCAGCGGACTTTCTCCAAGGGCGTCCAGGGCATCTTTGGGGGGGGTCCAGTTTGGGGGGTGGGGGGGGTCCGGGCAATAAAAGTATAGGAATAGGAATGTCTGCATGAAAGCGCAATCTATGTTGCGGATGCTCAGAAAGTCGCGCCCCTGGCGCGAAAACCAAATCGTGCACATAATTCATATGTTGCAACGTATGTGAGGCCATCTACGTGGTGAAAGTTACCCTGCCGAGCTTGAAGTTGTCAACCCCGCTGCTCGCGCAATCATCCCACCCACCCACCCGCAACTTGGTTTGCAAAACCCATGCCGCGGCGATTGCGATAACTGCTCGGCGCTGCCTGGCGCATCGCCGTGGCCGCGCTAACGCGCACATGCTCGCGTGCCAAGCTGCCAGCTAGTTTGTCGCGACCGACGCGGCCGCGGTGGCGCTGGCCGCCGGGCACTTCCCGGCGCGCAGTGCAGTGCGAGTCGGCGACTGAGGTGGGCGCGGTTTCATGACAAAGTCGACAACGGTAGACACGATGATGGCTGTTGCGATGCTGGCGGCGACGGTGACATCGACGACGACGGCAATGCCAATGACGACGACGCCGATGCTGATCACGCCGACGACGATGACTGCGCCCTCGCGTCGGCGATGAAGGCATGGAAGGAATTCGACACGCGCGCGCGGCCGACGCGCGAGCGCGGCCCGCATGGCATCATTTGACACGGGTCGCGCGCCCCCCCCCCCCCCCAGCACGCGCGCAAGGGCGTTCGAATGATTCCGACATGCGGCGCGAGAGGCCCGCGTGGCCGAATGGAATGCAAATGTTGAAAAGCTGGTGGTTTCCTGGAGAAGTCGCAGGAGCGCGAGCGCAGGCATTTTTAAAAACTGGCGTTGCAAAGCCATGTGTTTGCGTATGTTTTTTGGGGCACTTAATTTTGAAATCCCTACGACACCCAAGGTTGTCGAAGGATTTCCGCACGCGTGCGCGACGACGCGCGCGCGCACTTCGCCCCATCTGTTGCAAGGGGCTCCTGCGACAGCACGCGCGCAAGGGCGCCCCGGCGATTCCGATATGCGCGCGCGAGAGGCCCGCTTGGTAGTTCGGCATGAAAATTCTGAAAGACTTAAAAATTATCCTAATAGGCTTACCCTATCGGAGTCATAACTCAAACCCTACTAATTGGTCCTCCCCCCCCTCATTCCCTGTCCCCCCCCTAATTCCGATGGTTCTGCCTATTCCTGCGCCTGCGCCCCCACCCCCCCCACCCCCACCCACCCACCCACCCTAACTCCCATGCCTACGCCTATGCACATGCCTGCTTGCTCGCTTGCTTGCGCTTGCACGCTTGCTTGCATGCTTGCGCGCTTGCTTGCGCGCTTGCTTGCATGCTGAGTTGCGGATTTCAAGCATGCCTGATTCCTCAGGTCCGTGGATTTGAGTCGCTTAATATACTAGGAGTTAACGCTGGCTGATATGTTTTCTTAAGAGTCCGCAGAAAACCGAGCGCGCGTCTGTCTTGTTCCCCCTCGTTGGGAAACCTCGTTGTTCACGCGTGTTCGGGGCCCTCGATTTCAACACCCTTACGAAGCCGAGGTTGCCGAAGGATTTCGGCGCGCGCGCGACGACGCGCGCGCGCACTTCGCCCCGCCCGCTGCAAGGGACGCTCGAAGATTGACAAGTTCTGATAAACGAGCGCGCGCGCAGAATTCTGCGCGCAGAGGGCGAGGGGGGGGTGCCGGCCTGCCTGAGATGGCACGATTTCAGATTTAAGATGGG